ACCCTTTTAATTAATCTACGGAGGTAAATTATTCTCGTCGTGCTGTCTATATCTCGAGATAACTCGTTTAGTTCTCATTTAGCCCCGCTCCGCCTTAACAAGAATAGATATGTTCGCCTATCACCCGGTTCACACTCCTCCTTCGTCTTTGAACAGGAGCAGATGTTTATCACTTATTCCTGTTTAGGACTCGATTTCGGGTTCCTTCTAAAAATATTCGCATCTTCTTTCATTACAAATAAATTCTTGAGTCTTAGGGGTATTATCATCTTGATTGGGATGAAATGATTAAAAATAAATAAGTATCCGTTAAATTCACGTATACACTGCCCGGGCCAGGGATTGAACACACAAATTCTGCGTCATCATAATCACGAACCAACGTTTTGATCCTCTAGGTTATTGTTCCGTGGGACACGGATTTACAAGGACCTGATAAAGGTAAGAGAGCACAAATGATCTGATAACAACAACAATGATAAGGATAATCGTTCGCGTGTAAATAATGTAAATGAATCTAAATATAATGAGTTCGAACTTGTAATCCATTATTCAAGAGTTTATTTCTTGTGAGATGTTATGTTCTTGAAGATCCGTGTTGAACTTGGCTTATTTCTGCAACTATTCCATGAATTTATTTTATTTTTATTATTATGCCACTTGATTCCTTGGGGAACATATGGCCGCAGCAAGACCTCTTCCGGGAGATCGTCTTCAGTTCCGCTCATGTCGTGTCGGCTGCCTTCCCCTTTGCATCAACACTTCTGCACCAAGTCTTTTTTAGTCAAGCCACTTTTTGCTTCCCTTGTGGATTCCAGTCAAAGGTCTTCCTGGTGACAATAGAAGCAGACTTGCGGAGTATGTGGTCTATCCCTCCCCATTTCCATTTCTTGATATCAATCTCGATTAGGACTTTCCTGGTTCTGTCCCATAGACGACTTCCGGTCACCTGATGTTCCTGAGATATCGGTTGGTAAATGTCTGAAGGGTGTTGGTCTTGGTTACCCGCCAGGTTTCGGTGTCGTAAAGTAGGACCCCACCCTGATGTTGGTGTTATCGACTGGCTACCGATAAATCTCTGCCTTTTCTCCAACCTCAGCTGGAAAGAGACATTATGGCCCGTTTATACAATGCATCTTTTCCAACGTAAGCAAGTTGACAAACGATTATTTTTATTATTATTATGCCTCTTAGATCCTTGGGGAACATAGGGTCGCAACAGCACCTCCCCAACGGACAAGACTCCGGGCGATCCTCTTCTGCTCGGCCCATGTCGTGACGGCTGCTTTCACCTCTGTGTCAACACTTTTGCGTTTTGGTCGACCCACTTTTCGCTTCCCTTGTGGATTCCAGTCAAAGGCCTTCCTGGTGACAATAGAAGCAGAATGTGTGACCGATCCTTCCACATTTCCGTTTCTTGATGTCAATCCTCGATTGGGGCTTGCCTTGTCCTGTCCCACAGTTGGTAGCTGGAGACTTCCGGCCACCTGATATTGGTTGGTAAATGTCTGAAGTTTGTGGGTGTTGGTCTTGATTACCCGCCAGGTTTCTGAGTCGTAAAGTAGGACCGGCTTGATATTTGTATTGAAGATCCGGATCTTGTCATACGCTCCACTTTGGACGAGTCTTCTTCGGCCATGTCGTTGTTTGAAGATTTGAAGATATCGTTGTGGTTTCTGTAACAAGGTAGTTTTTAAGTGAGTAGATTGTTAGCCTACTGTACAACCAACCTGGAGGACCAGGGTGTGTCTTTCGTCTGGTTCCTACCCCACAGACCTGTTGAACTTGGTTGAACTTGGTTGAACCTGTTAAGGGCCAAAGTTCCCGCCCACATAGCTCTAAGAGGTCGTTGAAGCACATAAGCCGTCTTACCAAATCAAGGCGACACATCATCAGGACCCGTGTAAACAATGTAATGTGATCTGTTATTTAAGAGTTTGTTCTTGCGAGATGTTATGTTCTTGAAGGTTCATGTTGAACTTGGTTTATTTCTGCAACTATTCCATGAATTGCTTTCGACAAATATCCTAACCATTATTTATCATAACCTTTCGACTGACATTAGATTTGTCTTTCGTCAGGAGCAACTCGAGCTTTGACCTTTTGAGCCTTGTGTTCCTGAACAATTTTGATCCATCTGCCTGAGCTCCTGAGTCAAAATTCACAAATAATTGGTATGTAATGTTTTTTGGTAGATATAAAAATAGTTATAAGTGTTTACCCACAGTTCAACTGGTAGCTGGGCATTAAGTCATTTCTCTACCATCGGTAAAACAGTGGTCAGTTACGCTTAGTAAGTTTTCCGTTTTCACAAATTTACTATAGGCCAAAAGTTTGGGGTTAATCTTCCGATTTCGATTCTCTTTTAAAAAATTCCAAAATATTTAATTTTTTTCTATTTGCTTGGTCTTCGGTAGTTTTTTTTTTCTTGACAACCATACATTCTGCAGAAGCTCTCTCTATAAAAGGCAGGATGTGTGTGTGTGTGTGTGTGTGTGTGTGTGTGTGTGTGTAACGAATGCACGGCCGCAATTTTCGACAGATTTGCACCAAAATTTACATGCACATGCTCCAAGTTAGCGAGAAGGACAAGACCGACTTTGCATTTCCCAACTCCTATCGATAGTGGAAATAATCGATTTTTTCATACTTCTACGGCAGTTTTCATGTAGTTTGCAGCCATTTTCTACTGGCCAGAGTGAGAGCCTATAGCTGGCTGCCACGAATAGGCAGGAAGATTCTATTGCCCAGCGTGAGAGCCAACAGCTGACTGACACGAATGTTAACTAGCATGCTAGCATGCAAAAAAATCGATAGCTGCATTCGTCACAAGTGGGAAAAATTTAAATCTGCATGGCACTTTACTCCATTTGCCTCATTCGCTTGCTTAAACTCAACGTTGATTCTGATTCCGCAGAACTGGGTTGGGTGTAAAAAAGTATTTGTTGTTAACATTCTTTTTTCATTCGGTTTTTCTAGTTACGAGTCCTTTTTTAAAGCTGATCGTTTTGTGTTCATTTTTTTTAGTTCTTTTTTCGTAACAGATTTAATGTTTAGTATAGAGCTTAGAAAAAATTCGCAGTGTGAGATAGGCAAGAAGTAAGGCATGTAGCAACATCAGCACGGCAAAGGGCACTCTTTCAAAGGCAAGGAAGGGCAAAAAAGTCAAGTGATAGCGATTGCTGTATGAGTCGTACGATTTTTTAATCAAGCACGGGCAACGCCGGGCCATGCTGCTAGTTCTATACAAAAGGTATCAATGAGCTACCTGGTGCACACTGTTAGTGGAGTGGCTATGTTTACACTGTAACAGCAATAAGAAAACTGGTATGATCAAGGTCAAATGTCGATCACGTGACCACAAGAGTACCAACTTCAAGCACGAATGAGCAGAAATCAGTGTGATAAACCTAAAATATGTTATGGCGAAAGTGCGGAAAATTTTTGACTTACCCCCGTGTGTATGCGTGTGTGTGGAAAGAAAAAGAATACAAACTAAGGAAGAATCAGCAATATTAATGGTCCTGACATGGCATCTTGTCTTCAGTCGTTTTCCCACTGCCATAATGTAGCTTTTTTTGCCTTTTCTATAAATATATTCATGGTAATTGTTCGGATGAACTCTTCGGTATGTTACCTAGACTTTATGAATTTAAGCGCAGTACTAGATTGGCTGCAAGGTCTCACCAATTGACAGTTGAATTTTCTAGACGTAACCTTAAGTTCTACGCTAACAGTTGTTTTACTCGCACTTCTCTCCTGTGGAACTCACTTCCGGCGCCATGCTTTCCGTCCAACTTTGATCATCAATAATTTTAATGCAATATCAATCGTTATCTACTGTCTTCCTGATTACTCTTGTATTGTTCTCGCTCCTTCATGATGCTTTCTAATTCACAACACTGATTCCTTGTCTGTTAGTGGCTTTACTGTTTTACCTAGGCTAAATTCTATTAATAAAAACATGAATGGATTCAGATATAACTTCAAACTAACAACTTTTGAATTAATAATTAGCAACACTATTAGAAGGTTGTTTATAATAAGTAATGACCCTAATCAACGCATTCCATCATAATTAATACAGAAAATTATCCTCTGACGTCACAAGGTCAACAGAAATAATGTTTTTACATTATTCAGACTATCGGCCTCACATTTGTTGCCGTATTTATCACAAGCTTGTGTACGCTTCGGCCTTCTTCAGGTGGTTGGAATGTCGAACTGAACCCTTTATTTTGCTCACTGGAGTAGACTGTTCTAGTTCCACGTGCCATGTTTAATGGATATCAGTTGTCAGTTATCTCCTGTTAATTCCTCTCTCCAAATTCTCCACTACTTAACCAGGTATTGAACTCACAACTCTTTGAGACCTGTAACTAGATCTAACCAACATCTTTACCCACTGTGCTGTGTGTCCTTAAGGAGATCAGTGTATGAATTTATTGGACTGATAAACTTAATGTCTTCAGTATCATTTTTACCAGTGCTCATATTGCAATTTTTTTTTGCTGTTATCCATGAAGGTATTTTTTTAACCAGAGCTCATATTGCAATTTTTGTTGGTATTATTGTTTTCTCTGGCACTCCTTATTACTGGTTCCCATATTGTATTCATTTCTATGCTTGGTCGGCTCAGTAGATTTTATGCTCTAGCATATGTGCTGATTCCTTAAGTTTACGAATTTTCCAATGACGGTCTTTGTCTATGATTTTAACCTGATCCCACAGATGGCGGTGATCCCCCTTTTCTCTCTGAAACGTTGTGACAAATATGGCAACAAAGATGAGGACGATAGACCGAATAATGTAAATAGCGTACATAATACCCCATCTCAGAAATATAGACAGATACTGAAGAAAGCCGGAGCGTACAACGGCCGAAACGTTGTGATAAATATGGCAACAAAGATTAGCACGATAGTCCGAATAACGTAAATAGTGTACGTAATGCATCATCTCAGAAATATAGACAGATAAATAAAGTTTTGTTTACTTACCGACTGAACAAAGGCTTTGGTCGACGACTATCTCCTGACCCATTTTATAGAGGTCTGTAGTAAAGTGAGGTAAGGACATGATTAAGGAACCGAGGCCCATAATGATAATGGAGACCCCTAGCCACCGTGGTTTGTGCCCTCTGGAGCAGAGATAGCTGATGAGCACCCCAAATAAAGCGGCTGAGATATCGTAGACGCTGGCAATCATTCCTATGTTGGAGCTGTTGAGCCCGAAGCGACGTTCTAGGGAGGTTGCATTGACACTGTTGAGTCCATTGAGAACGAAGCCTGTAATACAGAAGGGGAAAAAAACATAAGTTAATGGAAATAGTAATATAAGCCGTTTCCTTATAAGTAAAAAATAACAAAGAAAAACATTTGTAACTTAGAGACCGAGTAGCCAGTGCCACTATACGTTGAAATTTATCAAATATTTCTATTAAAATGATTTTTCAGGAATATAGATTTGTCAAATTCACTGTTAACGCTCCAGTATTTGTAGGATTTTCATTCCTCATCTTTATCCCGTCTGGGTAAGACGATAAACTACATCCGCCTCCTGGGTAAGTCGAGAAACTACATCCGCGTCCTGGATATGACAATAAATTACATCCGTGTCCTGGGTAAAATGATAAACTGCATCAACATTCTGGGGAAGACGATAAACTACACCCGCGTCCTGGGGAAGACGATAAAATACATCCGCGTCCTGGGGAAGACGATAGACTACATCCGACAGCAAGTTCTCTAATCAGGTATTGAGGAGCATGGGAACCTCCTCTTAATTGCTGGAGTTCCCTGGTCCACCTTAACCCGGGGTGGTAGTACCTTTTAGGGTCCCAGATATGGGCAAATAGTTACCCCCCCGCTTCAAGTGGTCAAACCTCTATAAAAGTATAAATATAGGTTTTAATACCAGAGATACGTTTTTGAAAAAAAATATTACTAGTAGTACATTTTTGAAGAGGAGACGCGATGGAGTAATGGGTAGCGGCTCGGATTGAGGAATTCAGAGTCGGGTTCGAATTCCAGTTGAATCCATAATATTTACTTACGTGCTAATAACCTTGGGAAAGGTATGAATCCTCTTTTTCCCCCACCCCCGGGTAAATAGCCTTGGATGGCAAGTGGTCTACCGTAGAAAGAAATAGCAACTTAATCAGTCATGGTCGAAAGATACATGATCGCCTAAGCGAGTGTCACTGATACTGACTAACTGACTGACTTTCCAGTCGAATCCATTACATTCACTTGCGTGCTAATACCTTTGGGAAAGATATGAATCCTCTTCTTCTCCCTCCATTTGTCCTGCTATTTACCCATAGCAAGACAGACCGAATTCTATAGCCTTTGATGACAACTAGTCTACCGCTGAAAGAAATGGCAACCTACTGCGGAGAAAAAAATCTGCCTCGTCACTCATGTATCGAAAGATACATGATCGCATAAGCGTGTATCACGCGTGGCACATAACTGACTGACTGACATTTATGAAAAAGGAAAAAAAATATTACTAGTAATACATTTAAAAAAAAATAAAAAAAATATTAACAGCAATACATTTTCGGGAAAAAATAGATTACCAGTAATAAAAATCTTGTCGGCATTAAATAACCCATTGAGGTGTTTATATGCCGTAAAACAAACCAAACTAATCTTTTATTTGAAGAAGATTACCAGTAATAAAATCAACCCATTGAGGTGATTAAAACAAACCAAACCAGTAGTAATAAAATCTTGTCGGCATTAAATAACCCATTGAGGTGTTTATATGCCGTAAAACAAACCAATCTTTTATTTGAAGAAGTATGAAATATCAACATCTTGATTATTTCATTATTTTCTCTTCTCAAGTCCAGTAGCTGTTATCTCTCTTTCAAGTATTGATGGGGTTTTCCTTCCTAACCTTTTATTTGAAGTGATGTGGAAAATCAACATCTTGATCATGTCTTTACTTTTTACTTAGAATTACACTAGATATCCATGTCAGTTGAAAATCCTCAAGTGATGTGCTTTCTGTTATTTGGCACTGTTCTTTGTTTGTGGTTCTGTAGTATCAGTCGGCATCGTACGAAAAAGAATGGTTCTCATAAAGACCAACGTGCTTCATTGCCTTGAAGCCATTTTAACCATTTATCTTAGAAAATGTTTATATACTGAACGGGTTTGGCGAAGTAAATGACATCGACATGAAAGTCTCAATCTGACATGACTCGAGATATAAGCTATCTGCCTTTGTAGCAACTTGCTGTATTGGGCGAGACTAACCCTAATACAGCCAATTCTATATTCAATTTCCTTTTCTCTTACGCTAAATTTGTTATAACTGATCCATACATAGAGTGTATTTGAGGTTTTTAGTGTTTACTTATTCGATCTCCTGAATTTTATGATGGATTCAAATCCTTGCTTTCATTCCAATTCCAGATCATAAGTTCTGTCTTAGAAGGATTTATCCTGGGTTCTTTTTCTTGGAATACCTGCTAGGGGATGTTGATTATTTTTATTCAAGATCATTCTTATCTCAACTATGAATACCTATGTCATCAGCATATCCCACATCATCAGTATATTTAATTTGAAAATAAAACAAAGCATGTCATAACCTTTCGCGTCACTTGACAGGTGTTGAATGACATATTGACGGATTACGTGAAGACAATTTGTTCTACGGAAGGAGAAAGGTGAAGTTATTTAGATTTAAGTGAACAAATTATTTACTTCGTTATTTTTAAGGAAAACTTTCAGCGCTCTAATTTTTTGTACTTAGCTTTCAGCTTTACGTTTACGATGCTTTATGGAACATATATTATAAAGAAATTAAAATAAGACTGTTAAGAGTGAGATTAAATTTCATATTTCATAAGAAAGGTATCTAATTAATTTATAGGTACCTTTCTTATGAAATTTTATCAGAAGTGTTCATAAAATACTATAATTTTATGTATATTTATTACATGTTACTGTGTTATTTGTATTTCCATTCATTTTATGATTAATTTTGATATTTCATTTATGGAAAAATGTCATTACTGAGATTAATATAAAAATAAGATCATATAAATTTCATAAGATGATATTGATACTTGTAGGTGCCCTTCTCAGTTGAAATTGAAAAATCAAATTAACTTCTCCACACGTGTTTCGCAAAAGTAAATGCTTAACTCAAATAAAGCAACTTAATTTTATTCTGGTTGGTCTTCCGTACATTATAATTACAGCCCGATTATCAACACAAAATTACATTTCTTAATTACTGCAGATCTTCTGATTAATCAAAATGATACAATTTACAACGTGCTAAAAAAGATTTCATAAGGACACTTAGGAAAGCCGATGCGGCTTTTAACTAATTTTATAATATTTTAACATCTTAAATGTAAAAAGCTATTATAATTAAAGAAATAACAAATAATTATATTAAAAATTAATTTTTCATCAAAAAAAGTTTTTGCTTTCAGAAAATATTGTCCATATTCATAAAAACAAATAAAAGCATTTGAAATTAAATAATATAAATAGTTTTGTATGTTACAATTCAGAGCTGATTTTCAGGTAGGGGGGAATTAAAAAAAAAACAAAACATGATTTGTATTCCTCAAAGCCTTGTGCTTTTAACTATTGTAATCACTAAACTGGATTCGATCGAATTTCTAGCGTTTTCATAAAATTAGTTATGGTGGGGGATAAATATAAAATAATTCTGGCATGACTTTGATAAAAAAAATCATATTTATAATAATATCGATGATCTGTGAATAGTTTCATTAACTTCAGGCAATTATTTTTATTTTTGCAAGATTTTCCAAATTAATGTGTGTCATACAAAAAAAAAACGTACTAAAAATTGTCTATGTTATTTTACTAGTTCTGGTGATAAAAGAGAAACAATGTTTTCTAAATCAAAATTTAGAATGTTCTAAAAAGAAGGAAAAATTTAAAAAAAATAATTTAAAAATAAACTTTGGTCTTTCCTCCTAATAATAACATACGCATTTAGACTATAAAATTTTGCTTTCGTCAAGTTTGACTTCTTTTTCATCATGCTATGTTTTTTTTTAGCGATCTCATGGAGTTACCTAAGTTAATTTATAATATTTATGCTCTGTAAATTTACATTGAGCACTATTTTTAAAAAATAAAAATATTAATAAGAACACCGGATTATATATTTACTGTCCTTTCTTTATATATATATATATATATATATATATATATATGGGGAAAATGTATGACAAAGTGTATAAATGTTTTCTTATGACGTGTTCCGTCGTTTAAATCTTTTTATGTTGGTGTGACTTACACATGCGCACGAACAAGGGAAGTTGGAAGTTTAAAATTTTTTTTACTCTATTTAAATTTCATTTAGATTCTGTTTTCCATCAATTTCATTGGTAGATATCCCCCACTTTGATAATAAAAGGTCTGCTAGGAATGGTGAAATGTTGCCAGGGCGTAACTTTACCGTAGATGATCTTGCAATGAAGGCACTCTCTAGATTTTTACGTCGTAGTGAATTATTTTCTCTTTTCATATATATCACTTCGACTTAGTGTAATGGTTAGCAAGACCGTCTCGTTAGACTAATATCAGTTACGATTCCGTAGTGAATTCAATCCTCGCTTGGCACTCCATAATTTCAGCCTTGTACTACATCTAATCCAAGTTTAGTTGTAGACATCGCTGCATGACATAACTCGAAACTATGAATGGTTTTAAAAATGTTTCTAGCAGGAATACAAACAAGTGTCACCGTTTCCATGGGCAAAACCTATGGAATTGGAATGAAAGAAGAGAAAATAAAGGCTGCACAATGAAAAAATAAAATAGATTTTTAAGAAAAAAATCATAACATCGTCTATGAAATCCAAATAAAAAGGAGAAAATTGTTGATAGTTGAGAGATGGGATTAGAAAAATAAAATAGGTCTCAAAACATTAAAATTCTACATTGAAAAGAAAGAAAGAAATGAAAAGGAACCCCAAACTTTAGAAGTGTGAAGAAAAAAACACTTTCAAAGGAGTAATTAACGATAACTGTTGAAAGATAAAAGGCATTAAATCGAGACAAACACGAGCATGAAACAAGAAGAAATGAAAAGTCAAGAGTCTTGTTTGCAACTAAACGCCAGCGACATCATGACCTCAAAATAGCTTTCAAATATGAAGGCCTACATTTGTAGATTTTTATCTCAAATAAACTCTTAAAAATCTTATACATCTCATAATGTATGCGCTCACATATCATGCACGCACACGTACACACACACACACACACACACACACACACACACACACACACACACATATATATATATATATATATATATATATATATATATATATATATATATATTATATGCGCGGTACTTAGTGGAATGCGCTCAATATCATTGATAGAGCTAACATAATAAGTTCTATGAATATGAGTTTGTGATCCTGCAGTTCACGTTTTGTGATCATCAGACAAACTGTCTGATGGTCACAAACGCGTGAAACCCAGAATCACAAATTCATATCCATAGAACTTATTATATATATATATATATATATATATATATATATATAATAAAGAAACAATTTATACAATGAAGTAAATAGCATTGTTAATGTGATTCATGGTGAAATCACTTCGCTAACAGAACTTAATGAGACATTAACTTACTATCAATTCCTTGAATAATAAGACCCTAATATACGATAAACAGATAAATACATATAACAAGAAAATTTCGTGTATGCATAACTTTCCAAAATTTAAACAAAATTCTCACTTGATCGATTTAAACAAGAACTCTGGCGTCGTGCCATTGCACGCTCCAAAACAAATATTCACCTCTCAAGAAATAACACAATAAAAAAAAAAAAAAAAAAATTATTTCTGTCTATACATATTTCGTCTTAGTGTTTGCCTTTGTTTGGGAAAATTGCACCCTGAAGATGACAATTTGAAATTGTCGATACTATTGCCAAATGTCTTCCATTTGACAACAACTCAAATATAACGATCTTATTTTCAAGGAATTGATGGTAATTTAATGCCTCATTAAGTCCTGTGAGCGAAGTGATTTCGACATTAATGACATTAACATTGCTATTTAATTCTTTGTATAAATCGTTTCTTTATGATATAAAATATAAACTGCACACTCATATATAATTTATTCGAAAATTATAACATAAATATGTTATAAAATCACTACTAAAACAGCCATTTTCTTTCAACACTTCTGGTGTCTTATCAAGTGATGGTGTTGAATTGATAAGACACCATAAGTGTTGAAACAAAATCGCTATTTTTGTAGTGACTTTATAACATATCTATGCTATAATTTTCGAATAAATTATATTTACTCTACTCTGTATTGAGCACTCTTTTAAGAATAGTATTTTTTGATTATTGAAATTTAAACCGTATACACCAATCCTATACTTGCATATATATTTTCTGTGAAAATTTCTCGGACATTCAGGTCGGTAAATGTTGTTTAATACTGTTTATTATAAACAGAGCATTTACTTAAATATTTGTATCTATAAAATGAATGTATAAACATAAAAATGTCTTAACACACACACACATACACACACACACACACACACACACACACATATATATATATATATATATATATATATATATATATAATGTTAAAACAAAATTACAGCCTTTTCGATTCACTTCCCTCTCCCCTTCTCTCTTTGCCGTAACGCTCATTTAGATATATCTGTATTACTTGTCTGTCTCCTCTCTCCTTTCCATTTTTCCTTTTCTTTTCTCCCCACTCCCCTCCCATTCCTATATATCATTTCCGTTAAGTTAACCATCTAAATAGGTCAAGGTTCAGTCACTCCTCCTACCCCAATATAAAGCATTCTTAAGAGAGATATGAAATTAACCCCTCCCTATATTCTACCTTGTCTCTTTAACTACAACTCTCACCCCCCTGTTAAATTACAAAAATTACACTACCCATCAATTTCTAATCCCATTTTTCCTTTCATTTCGTTGTTGGAATTGTTACCTGATGATCCGGAGTCCTTTAAAAAGGATTTTGGTGAAATAAATTATTTTAATGGTACCTTAAAGTTGTCTGTTTTTCATTAAATATTAGCTCTGTATTCACATTGAGCTCTCAGGATTTCATCCTCCTTGGAATTACCCATTCGGTTTACCAAGTTCTTCGTAACTTAAATATATATATATATATATATATATATATATATATATATATATATATATCGGGGAGAAATTCGAACGAGGTTGAGGCAGAGTGAAAAATGAAAAGTCTAACATGTACAATACATTTAATAATGTCACTAAGACACAAAGAATTACTGACATTGAAAGAGAATAAAAAGACTTTAGTGGGAATAAAGGATAATAAAAAGAACAGGATTCAGGATGACAGATGATGACTTTTAGGTAACAGGGAAAGCAAGAAACTGTAAGAGAGTTTCACAGGCGAGAAAAGAAACTATTAGAATAGAACCTCCGGTATTCAACAGTAAAGCGGTGAGATCTAATTGTTAATTTAGTATTACATTTAAATTAGTACAGTCTAAACACCAAGGAGGAAGGTTCTTCAGAACAAATAACTTAATGTTATTTTTGTATGCAGTTATCCATTGTATAAATGTCTTTTTTTGTACTGTCATCTACAATGTCTCTATAAAGACTAAAATCAAAACTCTAAAGCCATTCATCTTTCTTCCCATATTTATCACAAAGTTTCAGAGAGAAAAGGGAGATCAGGTTGGAATCATATACAAAGAACATCATTGGAAAATTCGTAAACCTAAGGAATCAGCACATATGTTAGATCATAAAAATCTCCTGAGCCGACCAAGCATAGAAATGAATACAATATGCGAACCAGTAATAAGAAAAATATTAATTACCAGGAATTTTACTGGTTTCAAAAGTAATTTGATAATCTCGGAAACATATATATATATATCAGAAGTTGTTTTCTTTTATATAAAAAGAATGCCCTAAAGAAAACTCATTTTTAGCTTACATTCCACTTCAAAATACCATAATTCTGCCGTAAAATACACTTCCCTCCTCCCGAGAGATTTTGGCCAAAATGAATCATTAACTTTGTTTCTGATGATGATTTGACGAAAATTGTTGTTTTTATAGCAACTTTTATGATGCTTAATATTTAAAAAGAAAAATGTGGGAGTGTCCACCACTGTATCCGGTTTTTCAATTTATATCCGGTTTCACCCATTGGACACTTGAAGTCAGATAATTTTACGCTATCTTCTTCATCCAGCCGGCTACTCTCCATCCTACACAAGTCATATGAGCAAACGGATGAATAGTTTTCTTCTTTAACTGGCAATCGAGCGCCTTGTATCGGTATGGTTTCAGCTGGAATTTCTGACTGTGTAAGAAGATCTTGGGCAAGTATTTCTCGCTCGATAGAAACAGGCTTTCAGTTGTTTTAGAAGATACGAGTCAACATTAATATTCGGGAGAAACCAAGCTATTTCATTATAGCGAGAAGTATTTTCATTTTGAGTGTATATATGACTATATTTCAACCAATGCACTCTCTGGCCTACATCCAGTTCATATTTTATCCGAGAAGTTTCTTTCTGACTTGAGCAACCAATAAAACTGATTAATTGATTTATTTATACGATATCTGTCTATATATCTGAGATGAAGTATTATGATTATTTACATAATTTACATTATTCGGACTGTTATCCTAATCTTCATTGCCATATACACAACGTTTCGGTCGTGGTACGCTCCGACCTTCTTCAGGTGACTGGGATTTCGAACCGAACCCTTTATTTCGTACACCGGGGTACATTATTCTAGTTCCACGTGTCATACCTCTTCAAATGCTTCAGTTATTTCCTTTTAACTGAGCTCTCCATGTTTTGGTTCACGACGACTGTGGCTTGGTATTGAACTCACAACTCTTTGAGTCTAATCACTGGATGCATGGCTCGTGGAAGTAGAACAATGTACCCCAATGGACGAAATAAAGGGTTCGGTTCGAAATTCCAATCACCTGAAGAAGGCCGGAATGTACAACGGCCGAAATATAACAATAAAGATAACAGTCTTCTCCGGCCTTCTTCAGGAATTTCGAACCGGGCCCTTTATTTCGTCGACCGGGCTAGATTGTTCTAGTTCCACGTGCCGTGCCTCTTCCGGATGTTGTGAATATGGCATTGAAGATGAAAGTTTGGACGAAAAACTAAGGCCAATGAGCATAAATCCCCTTGCTAAGTTAAATTGGAAAAAATAACTAAAAGCAAAACAAGCCTAAAGTAACCTATTTTAGGAAACTACTCCACAAATCCTACTTTAATGTGGCTACTTGCCATATTTCTATGTAGGAGCAGTTCATTATCACTGTAGTAGGGGGGGGGGCAAAACATACACGCAGTTCTAATCTAAAGCATAGACTCGTCTCCTGCTTTTGTCTTCCGATAAAATGTTAAAATGTCGATTTTCTATCAAGGGATTTGGAGTTCCATTGCATATTGATAATCGCTGTTATAATGTTATCATCTCGAAAACACATGCACAGAAGTTGTTATTTTTTTTTATCAATAGACTTCTGACCTTAATACCCTGTCCTTTGCATTTAGAATAACTACCAAATAGAACTAACGTCATAGTCACTTCAATGTTTATCAATCTTCAACGTTTAGCAGCTCTGACATGAGGTTCTGTCCTGACTTTGTTATGTATAAGAAGTATTATTTTTACTCTCTTTACTATTTAGTTTAGTTGTTGACCAATACATAAAGAATAGGAGAAGATAGGTTCGCCTATCGACCGGTTCACACTTTTCTTAACAAGTTTATGGCTTGTAACC